CCCCAAAACCCCAAAACCCCAAAACCCCAAAACCCCAAAACCCCAACTTAAGGAAGGAAGAATAAAAGGTATTCACTTGTAATTTATATAATATGTCAATCAATAAAGCATCTTCAAAAACTTTTGCTATGGGTAAGGCTCTTACTTTATGCCCACGGTCTGATCATTTGTGTATAGAGAAAGAAACTAACGCTTTGGAAGGAATTTGAGTTAAGAGAGCGGTCTTGACAAGTAAGAGGATCCCAACTTTAGGCACCAGTAACCTCTTACAGTAAGTTCTTAGGAATTAATCGCATATAGACGGAGAGGTGACACAATGAAATGCAAGCCATTTTCTTGTCTAACCATTGGTACAATCAAGTCTGCAAAGAAAAAAAATCCTTTTGCTATGATATCCAAGATGAAATCGAAGGTTATAATGGAAAAGCAAACAATCTCCGAAGGTACTTTGAGCACCACATATGAAGAAAGCAAGGATAAATTTGATTGTGAGTACATCTTTCAGAGGCATGTGTGAGACCACAAAGAAACAAAAGAGAAAAACTTAGCCAAATTCCTAGACACCACAGGAATTTTTCAAATAAACTTGAAAGTTGTCTTGGATGAATACCACTTCTAAACTTCTTCTGCAAAGTTTGAAAGCTTTCTGGCTATCTAAATAATCCTCTATAACTCCATAACCTCTTTCCAACATATTCTCCCTTTCTCTCTACACCCCAAAACCCTCACTTAGAAACTCCTTCTTTCCCTAAACCGTACTGGGTAAACCTCATTTAAAACTTAGCTTTCTCAATTAATTTTAGGCAATAAACATATCTGTTCTGTAACTTTACTTGGACTTGATTATGACTGAGTGTGTAGAAGAAATTTTATGGTTTTGGGGAATTTTGGGAATAGAAGAAAAACTTGATTTATTTGAGAGTGAATAGAGAGAAGGTTTCTGTAAGTTTTTAGTTATTATAAGGCTTGGATGACATTAAGCTCAGTTTTTTATAATTCTTAGCTTTATGTTTTACAGTCCGCACATTAAATTAAACATGAGTAAATTTCACCAGAAGCCGTAATTTATTATTTAAAAAGAACAGATATGCAGCAATAAGACCTATAGTGGTTCTTTTGGAATTTGGGAGAATAACAAAGATTCAATCAACAGTTAGTTTTAATAATAATCCAGTTCTCCTAGCACCTATTGAATAGTTCATCAAGCTTTTCAATGTTAGATGACGGGAATGGGGTTTTGGGGTTTTGGGGTTTTGGGGTTTTGGGGTTTTGGGG